CCTGCTAGGTCACATCCTGGGCCACCTCTGGTCACAAGCCTCCCATCTGACCTTAGGAGGGTCCCAGACCCTGAGGTCATGTCCCGATCCAGTGTGGCCACAACTTTCGCCCTCCTGGCCACACTTCTTCCTGTCCCTGACCTAGATAAGTCCTGGCCCAGGGGTGGGTCTTCCTTTCCTTTTCAGCCATACCTCTCCACTGTGCACGTTGGGAGCAGCAGTTTGGTAAATAAACTTCTTCTCCTGCCTAAATAGTGCATGGTGTTCTCTTCATTGGCTACCGGCTACCTAATGAAACCTACCTATTTAATATACCTTACAAAAACTAAATGAGAAAAATTGAAAGGGCTACATTCCATTCATTAGTAATCCCTATTCTGCATGCTGCTTTATAAACATTCTTCTTTCTCCCAAGAAGCTGTGCTGTCCCTAAATAGACCATTAGGCTTCTAGATACCATGAACCACATGATTCTTTTGTAGATTTGAAATTGTGCAACATACTGGGTACATACTATATGCTCCAGAAATACTGTTGACCAACTGATTACTAAGTATTTAACTATTTTCCCCCTGGCAAATTTTCAGGAATGCTTAGTATTCACAAAACCATAGAATCTTGGAAACCAAAAGGAAGTATCCATCTATTGGTATACATTTTCCTTTAGATATGCATTATACAGAGATTTCCTTTGGAAATATAAACAAAGGATGCCTGATGAGCCAGGACAAAGAACTATATATAGAGATCAAGTGGCCAGAATAGCAAGGTCGAAGTGTGCCCTTCCTTAACCAGATTAAAGGGAATCTTGGGCCTGCCTCTTACCTCCTTCCCATGCTCTCCAGCCGCAAAAGAAATTATTTCCAACCGTTTATTTACTGAACCCTGAAAGTGGAGCAGCAACTATAATAAGTTACAATTCAGCTAATAAATCTATGGCGATTTTAATCTCTGTTTCTGTAATAATAGGAAGACTGCAGCTTTGTTTACTTTCTGAGGAGAATAGAGAACAGGGAGAAAGAACTAAAATGGGGAGGCAGTGTTCATGGCTTCTTTATGAAATGTCAACCTGTGACAAAAACATTTGCAGACAATAAGTAAGGAAGAGGAACAGGTTTGGCAGGAAAGTAGCCTATTCCAGTTTTCTCAGAAGTGCCTTAGCTGGTATCCTTCATCCCCACCCAAAGTGAAATCCCTGGTTTACACTGTGAATATAACAATTCCCTAAACACCTAAACCTGCATTAGAGAAAAAAAAAACCCAAATCATCATTCAGTATCAGGCTCTGATGGTTAACAGTATCATAATATTGATTTCATTTTATAAAATATTTGTAAGCATTTATGAAATGTTAAGCATCTTCTTAAACGGCATTTATAATTCTAGGCTTGTCCTGAAGCCTTTGGACACATAGGCTCTATGTTGAATGACTATAATAAGCAGGCTGGATTCACCCTATTATTAAGGGGAAGTTAAGGGAAGGCACATCTCTTACCTTTCAGAAGGGAAGATGTCATAAAGGAGAGCCATGGTCTTTTTATTTTATTTATTTATTTATTTAGTCAGTAGTGGACCAGAACTCTGGGCCTGGGCACTGTCCCTTAGCTCTTCAGCTCAAGGCTAGTGCTCTACCACTTGAGCCACAGTGCCACTTCTGGCTCTTTCTGCTTATATGGTGCTGAAGAATTGAACCCAGGGCCTCATGCATGCAAGGCAAGCACTCTAGCACTGAGCCACCTTCCAGCCCCAGCCAAGGTTTTCCCATAAACTATCTAGAAGAGTCCCTGTCAAGGACAGAATCCTAAACTATATACACTTCTATGAAGATAACTCCCAAAACACACTCTTGTGATCAACATTATTATATTATCTCACTATTCTTTTTTTAAGTTCTCATTTCATAATTTATTCTATTGTCTTCATTTCCTACATAAATATATCTACATTGCGGTGGATTTTTTCATTGTGTAAGCCCTCAAAGAGTAGATACTGTGCTCATGCCTTTTTAAAAAGAATTCTGGCATAATGCCATGTATAAAGAGGTATTAATAAACACTGATCTTTTGTGTAGCCAGAGAAGACAGTGGCTTTCATGATAGGATTTAACAAGCAATTCTAAGGGTGCTTCTACTTTGTTGGCTCTCATGAGACTATTCTTTCTTCTTATTTCCTTGCATGTGACAGCACTGGTGTCACCTCCTTAAGGCCCAAGAAGGAAGGCTACCTTCAGAAAGGCACTGTTAAAACATCACCTGATGAGTTGTCTTATGAGAATAATTTCTGCCACATGAACAGAACATAAAGGATTGGGTGCTAGGATGGTCTCAGAAAGGTTGGAACAGAACTATGTTAATGTGAGGCTGGACAGGGCTGTAAGCTTCCCAGAAGTGGGGAAAAGAGACTTTAATATTAATGAATAATAGCATCAAAGTGTTAAATTTGCTATTTGACTCTAGCTTGCTCTGTACTTAATAGTCTTTTTGATTAGAATGAGGAAGGTGAGTGTTAATTTTCTAGCCATATTTTATTCACTTTCAGCTGTTACTTTACCTTCAATCATGCAAATTCTAAACCTAGGGATCCCTTTTCTAGTCTCCTGCTTACAATACTCTCTTGTCCCTTTTCTAGTGTGGATTACTTATACTGTAATCTAACAGTCTAATCAGAATCTTTGATAGAATAGAACATGAGAGATTCTGATGAGCTGAAAACCACTAAGAAATACTTTCTATTTTGTTCCTTCTCTTTTGGAAAGGATTAGACAGACAATGGAGAAAAAGAACAGAACGCAGAAAATAACAATTCACAGAATTGTGACCCATAAAATCTGGAAAGTCATTGAAGGTCACAAAGTGAGTCTAACTCCTCATTTTATAGGTAAGGATATTGAAACTAAGAAGCCAAATGACATACATTCATATAACCAGTTAATAGACAGAGCAGGCCAAGAACCCAGTTTTCCAGCTTACATTCTAATATTCTTCCTTTTCATTCCTTATGCTTCTTCCCAACCCTTACCCATTCTGCCAACTGACACAGACATTAGTACTTTATGTACTCTACATAGAGAACCAATTTGTTTGGCAAATGTAGTGTACAATCAGGGATTATATTGCTAAGATATGTTCATCATATAAGTATGTATACTCTACTGGAAGAAACATAGACGTTAACAAATCCAAATAGGGTCTGGGTATGAAGAATCATGACTATAATCCCAGCCACTTAGGAGACAATGATAGGAGGATCCTGGTTCCAGGCCATGATAAGTTAGCAAGGCCCCTACGTCAACAGACTAGCTGGGTGTAGTGGTACACATCTATAATCTACTAGGGAAGTAGAGGGAAAGGGATTGAAGCCTAAGCAGAAATGCAAGACCCTATCTGAGAAAGACCCTATCTGAAAACCAAACTAAAGCAAAAAGGTTTAAGCTGTGGCTCAAGTGGTAGAGCACTTGCCTAGTATGCTCAAGGCCTTTAAACCCTTTAAACAGCAGGAAGGAAGGAAGGAAGGAAGGAAGGAAGGAAGGAAGGAAGGAAGGAGGGAAGGAGAAAGAGAAGGTAGGAGGGAAGGAGAAAGAGAAGGTAGGAGGGAGGGGGAGAGCAAGTAAGGGAGGGAAGAGTATAGAATTAATTCATAGAAGACTACACAGTCCTTTAATAATAGGAATCACCAACTAGGATTACAATAAATTTATTTTACTGTTTAAAACAAAATCAAGTCAAGGGCTGAAAGTATATCTCAAGTTGTAGAGTGCTTGCCTTGAAAGCTTAGGGTCTTGAATTCTAGGCCCAGTTATTACCAAAAATAAATAAATAAATACAAATTTAAAAGAAAAGTGAAATAAGCAAAATAAACTCAAAGTGTTACATTTATTTGTCACCCAAGTAATATTGGAACTAGACTATCAGGCTCTAAATAGAATTAGAAAATTTTTTTTATCCAATCCAAGTCCATTAGGAATAAATGTGTTCTCTTATTTAGACTTTAGATCTTACCATTAGTTCTTCCATGAAATCACACAAAACTAAAAAGGTAGAGCTAATGTTTCATGCATGCTCTTGAGAAAAAGGAATAACATCTTTATTTTATTATGCCCACAGACAGAGTTCACTCCTCATCTAATCTCTACTCTAAATTCAATATTGGTAACAATTTCTTGAAAGCCTTTCACTTGTATAGCAGTTTATAATTCAGAGCCAACTTTAACAGGTATGACTTGTTGATGGCAAGAATAAGTGGAAAGGTGGTAAGCATCAGGTAAGGAGCATGATCTAGCTAGGACCAGGATAAAGAGGAGGTGGAGGAGGAAAGAGGAGGCTAGAAAGAGAAAAGGCAGTCCTGATTATATTGTTACTGAAATAATATTACACTGAATGAACCTTAACCTATCCCAAAGGACACAGGATTTACAACTTACTTATGACACACCAGTAATCTCTTTAAGGAGAGATCATTTCTAGTTTGAGGAAGGAAGAATCACACATCCTTTCTAATTTACTGCCTGTAATTTGGAAAGAAGGGTGTGTCCTTAGGACTGTTGTCTCTCAAACCCATCAACACTGCATTGCTTGTTTGTTTTGTCAGTTGTGGGGCTTGAACTCTGAGCCTGGACACTGTCCCTGAGCTCTTCAGCTCAAGGCAAGCGCTCTACCACTTGAGCCACAGTGCCACTTCCGGTTTTCTGGTGGTTAATTGGAGGGAAAGTGTCATGGACTTTCCTGCCCGGGCTGGCTTTGAATTGTGATCTTCAGATCTCAGCCTCCTGAGTAGCTAGGATTACAGGTGTGAGCCACCAGTACCCAGCAAAACTGTAGTTTTTAAAAAATTATAAATATTCGTTCCTCTTATTAGAACAAGCATCATACAGAAATGAGACTTTGTAGAGCTACCCATCACTTCAAATGATTATAAACTACATTCTGACTAAACCCAAGCTCCCCCAAAAGATCATCCAATCCATCTCCTCTGAAAGAATTGGGAAGGTTCCTGTTACATACCTCAACTTGCTGGCAGATCTGTATTAGTTTGGCCATTTGATTTTCTAGTTCACTGTTGCGCTTAACCAGGTTGGTGAGGTTCATCTCCAGAGTTTGCTGTCATCATAGAAGGTGTGAAGCCAGCAGGAAAAACAGAGGGAAAAAAAGGACAAAAAATAATGAGCTTGAGAGCCAATGTGATGATCAGTCAGTAAATAATTTGTTTTTCAGTGATAGGTATAGATCCTAGAGAATTACATGTGTTAGGGGAGTGCTCTAGCACTAACCCATCCCAACCCATTAGACAAATATTACAAAGACTCATCACTTAACACCTATTATGCATCAAGCTTGTTTTAGGTACTAGTTAATCAGATGTACCTCTGTTCCAGACTGTCATTACTGAGGGAAAGATGACATTCATGACGTTGTAGGTGGATATAAGAATTTATTGACATTAAAGTAACCTTATGTTTTCAGAATATTTTATTAATTTTGACTTTCTAAAGTTATTTCATTGTCAATATCGTTTTTCTCCTTCAAGCAATCCTTTAGTATATAAAAACAGTCTTCATCATCTCTTTTACAGGTGAGTAGATTATGAAAAGTATGATTTATTGGATGATTAGTTTGCCAGACACTCTGCCATGGTAGTTCTATACATACTATTTAATAATTCTAATCATCTCATGAAAAAAAGATTAGCATTTTACTGATGAGAGAACTGAACTTCAGAGTGAAGTGTATATGGTACTGAGGAATCGAATCCCAGGCTTCATGCATGCTAGGCAAGCACTCTACCACTAGGCCACATTCCCAGCCCCAGAGCGAAGTTTAAGTGACTTTATAGTCATATAACTAAGTTGCAGCAAAGATAGGATTGGAGTCCATGTATCCAGTCCCCTATTTTAACTTATTCTGGTGAGGTTTTTTTTTTTTTGCCTTTTTTTGTGGATATATTTATTAGTAGGCTGCTTCAATAATTTTTCTCACTCATCATCCCAACACCTTACAAAGTTTGTTTCAAATGAATTATACCAACATCCTGGCCCTTCAAGCATTACTTCCTTTCATTGCTTCATTACTATCTCCATAGTTCCTATAATTTGTAGTTATTCAAAGTACATACATTTGGAAGAGAGGGTGGGAAAGTTTGTGGGGAATAGGGAGCATGAGAAAAGAAAGGAGACTCATGTTCTTTGCTCTTTTCTGTCTTCTAAGTAGCTGTAGCTTCATAATAACTTTGGCACTGTTCCCATGATTATATCCCGGGGGATCTATTCACATTCACATAGACGTATATATTTCTAGATGGACTAATCTGATTTCACTTGTTCTTAAACTGGATTCTGAGGACCAGCTTTACTCTTACTTCATTTCTTGCCAGACCTCTCTTCGTTTCTTTAGCTTGATTCCCACTGGAGTAATTTTTCACCATTTATTTCCTTTTTCTCATCTTGAGGGTATTTCCTGTGATTTCTTTATCTTATGCATTTGCTTTTGTGCAGATGTACAAGGACATGAACTCAGGGCCTGGGAGTTGTCCCTTAGGTTTTTCAATCAAGGCTGGCATTTCTACCACATGAGACATAATTGCACTTCCAGCTTTTTGCTGTTTAACTGGAGATAAGAGAATCACAGAATCTCCTGCATAGGCTGGCTTTGAACTGTGCACCTCAGATCTAAGCCTTCTAGGTAGCTAAGAATTACAGGCATGAGCCACTGATTTCTAGCTCTCTGATTTCTTTAATCCTATTCCATTTCAATCTGGGGTTTCCCTAGCAAATAAAATGGGAGGGAGGGAAAAAGGAAAGACAGTAATAATTTCAGCTTCATCTCTAAGATAAACTGATGTCAGAGAAGAAAGGTTGGAAGCACAGAGATTTAATGCAACAAAATTTTTAATGAGCACCTACTTTGTTCAGGGTGCAGTAGTGACTTCACATAGAAGAGATGGAATTTTAATAGGCAGTGATGGAGGATGTCAAGGTATTCCAGCCACAAGGACTAGCTCACCTGTAGTCCTGGCTGCTTGTAAGACAAACGTAGGATAATTGCTTATGCCCATAAATTTGAAGCCAGCCTTAGTAATACAGCAAGACTCTGTCTCAAAAAATATTAATAAAATATCAAGCATGTTCAAGGAATGGCAGTTTAGCTCAGCTTGAAGAGAGTACTAGTACTGGTGGGGACAGGCTGGAAATGTGGATCAAAGCTCTGTAATGAAGACTTTGGATATGCACCTTTTTTAATGGGGGGCATATCAAAAGCTGTTAAACATGGCAATGACATAAGTACACATGCACTTAGGGCAATACCCTAGCAGCAGCATGTGTGGCAAACTGAAACAGGAAAACCTGAAGACCGAGATTCTGAAAAAAATGGAGGCTGCTATACTCAAGGTTGTTGCTAATATAGTCTGAACCAATCTAAGAGGATGATGGAGAAACATATTTCAAGAAAGGATTTGTCACTGTGAAATATGCAGAGAAGATAAGAGTAGTGAGTGGAGATAAAAGGCATCTGCATTTGGTAATTGGAGGGCACAAATAATCTTTGAAAAAGGAATTTCAGGATGGTTTTGGAAACAGATGCCAAATCATACAGGGTTTAAAAGGATGTCAGAAGTGGAAAAAGTGGCTCCTCTCCATAGGTGAGTATGACAGAATTCAGTTTGATCAAGCTGAATTATTTGATCAAATAATCTTGTTTGTGTTAGAGAATAAGAATGAGATTTAGTAATAGACCCAATTGGTCAATGATTTCCTCTAGCAGAGTAATTCAAATTCCCAGATAAATTAAATTCTATGTATCACAAAATGACTATATTGACATATTAGGTAAATAGAATGTAGATTGATGAACTCAGAGCTGAAACAATATTGAAAATCCATGTTTCCAAGTGTAATGTGTTTCCATTCAAATGTGGGAGTCCACAGGGAGGATGTTCTTAACAAGTACGTGACCTGTTGCAACACTAGTCCTGAAATTGATATTTCATGAATTATTCATGTGCATAGCAGGACTCAGATCCCTGTTGTGTGATCCTCATTTATGGCTTTGATCTGAGGTTCATGGTTTTTATAAATCTACTGAATACAAAAATTAGAGCTGAACACCTAATTTGGGGTCTGGTTAGACTATGCGCCTTGGGTTACCATCACAAAATTATGGCAAATGGTTAGTGTGCTATGGCCTCCTAGCAATTTTCAGATTGCCAGCACGTTATAACAACTAGAACTGACAAGATGACTCTAATTTCAACCTTGCTTCATTAATATGAAAATGCTTTGAAAAATAGATCTTTGGCTAATGAAAACACCATCTGTTGATGGCTTTTTGCCACTGTTTTCTTACATTATGAGACATAATTTGAAGAAAACACTGAACATTTACTTACTCACTTCCTATTCATTTACAAGGAATTAAAGTCTTGTCTCAAACTGGAATTGATTCTCAATAGAGAACATATGCAAAAGGAAGCAGAATTGAAGCGATTATGCAGTCTATTTCCCCACCCATTCCTTATCATGCCTAGCACTAACAAATCATTTGGAACTAAAATTTCTGGGCCACTCTAGGTTTCAATGATTTGATTGATTTGGTCAAGTAATTATCTTGTCTATACAGTGGCAGAGTAAACATAGAGGATTTGTGTATGTGTGTGTGTGTGTGTGTGTGTGTGTGTATCTGTGTAAAATCTTTTATAACAAAATAAACATGTTATTCAGTTTTAAGGAATTTGTTATTTCACCCTCTTCTTGTACAGTCTAGTTAATGACTGGGCTAGGTTCCCTCTGCCCAAACCTGGTGAGTACAACTTTTATCAAAACAGCTAAACTGTGACAGCAAGTTAGCCAAAGTGGCAGAGAGATTGGAATGGAGATATCTGCTGGGAGGAAATGAGGACAAGAGATTGGCAGGGTAAGCAGGATGAAGCTCCATTTCCTGCTGCAGGAGGTAATCTCTGGGTCCTTCTCTGCTTCCCTTTTGTGGGGGCTAGAGAAGCCATTTTAGCTTATGACACTGTGAGAACCTGTTCACCTTCAGATGGCACCATTCTAGCAAACACACCAAATGTGCATGTGTCTGAACAGCACAAAATGAGGGGAAGATTTGGCTATCTTTTCGTACTTGAGATATTAGAAGGCCTGCATTAACTAAATTGGCAGTCTACACTGATTCCATTTTCACCAAGTTCCATTTCATCTATGTCATATAGATTCAGACCTCTGTGCTCTGTAGTTATCTTTCTAAGGGATGAACGTATTTTGCTATCTGAGAAGCCAGGAACAGGCCATTCTTCTTCCAGACAGCATCCTATTTAAAAAATAAATGGCCACTCTAACCCTCTCAAATAATTGCTGCTTTTTTCCCCTTCTCTAGACCCAGGTTATTTCTGGTAACATTTCTCATTGGCTCTCTTAAGAAACCTAGCTGTATATAAAAACATCAGCTCTTCATTATTCTTATGGCACAAGCTGGACTCTAATCTCCACTTTGCATGTTCTGGGAAGGCACATGCATTCCCACACAAGTTTGCACACTTACACACACACTGACCTGACACTGTAAGTCTTAAAGCTGAAAACAGGATGTAGCCTTTCTGTTTGTTTTATTGAAACATCTAGTATTGTTATGAAATGCCTGTAAGCTCTCCTGCTTTCCAAAAAGTACAAGGGGAACATTATTTAAACCCGGGCAAGAATCAATCTTGGAGTTTTAATGTGGGAATTGAACCTTGGGTAGAGAGGGTAGGAGAGAAACATGAAGAAGGAAAGAAAAACTCATTCATGAGTCATCCCAATTAATAGAAGATAACTTTGTCTTTAAAAACAATCTGAGCCAGTGACTCCATTTCCTCTTCTTTGGTATCTTCTTTATGAGCATACACTGGCATCCTCCCATCTTCCAAAAACTACAAGTCAGAATTTTGGGGTGGGGGTCGTCACATTCTACCTTCTTTCTTAGCTGCCTGTCTTAAAATACTTTGCTTTTGCTTCAGTCTGTCACTTTATGTATCAATTACAGATGGCCTTTCAACAACAGAACACACCATCTGGTTAACAAACTGAAGCCCACACCCTTATGCCAGAGTTTATTCATTCCCAAAACAT